CCGCGGGAGAAAGATGAGGCTTTCTACTCCCGTAAAGATTTACACCCTCGGAAACCCTGTACAGGGTCGCTATGGGTCGGAACTGACTCGATGGCACTTAACAACAACAACCGCAAGGTCAGCAGTTCGAAACTACCAGCTGTTTCGCAGGAGAAAGATGAGGCTCTCTGCTCCCATAAAGATTTATACAGCCTTGGAAACCCTATACAGGGTTGTTATGAGTTGGAACCGACTCCACGGCACATAACAACAACAACTACAACTGCAAGCTAACTAATTTGGAGACAATGATCTGGCCAATTGATTGGAAGAGATCCATATTTGTGCCCATTCCAAAAAGAGGTGACCCAACAGAATGCAGAAATTATCAGACAGTATCTTTTATATCCCATGCGAGTAAAGTTTTTCAAAAGGTAATACAGAAACAGCTACAATTATACTTTGATAGAGAACTTCCAGAGGTTCAAGCGAGATTCAGAAGAGGTCGTGGAATGAGGGATATCATTGCTGATGGCTGATGGATCTTGGCTGAAAGCAGAGAATAACAGAAAGATATTTAATTGTGCTTTATTGATTATGCAAAGGTGTTTGATTGTGTGGATTATGACAAGCTATGGACAACATTGTGAAGTATGAGTATTCCTGAACACTTAATTGTGCTTGTGAGGAATTGGTACCTGGACCAAGAGGCAGTTGTTCAAACAGAACATGGGAACATTGAATGTGTTAAAATTGAGAAAGGTGTACGACAAGGTTGTATTCTTTCACCATACTAATTTAACCTGTATGCTGAGCAAGTAATTCGAGAAGCTGGGTTCTATGAAGAAAAATGTGGCATCAGGATTGGAGGAAGACTCATTAACAACCTGTGATATGCAGATGATACAGTCTTGCTTCCTAAAAGTGAAGAGGACTTAAAACATTTACTGATAAAGATCAAAGAGCACAGCCTTCAGTATGGACTGCATCTCAAGGTAAAGAAAACAAAAATCTTCACCACTGGATCAATAAACAACATTCTTATAGACGGAGAAAAGATTGAGGTTGTCAAGGACTTCATTCTTCTTGAATCAATTATCAACACTCATGGAAATAGTAGTCAAGAGATCAAACGACATATTGCATTAGATAAATCTGCTGCACAAG